GGCTTCACTTCCCCCACACCACTCATGGTCCAGACTGCAGCAGCACCCCAACAGCACCCCTAGTCATTCCTGGAGGCTGTTGCATTAATAGATGTGTAATAGGAAATTGAGATTGATCCATCTCAAGCATGACTCATTTTCTTTTCACAGACAAAGGCAGGAGGGGCACAGGCCACCCTTGTGCCACCACTTGTAGGCCTTCAAATGGCAAACCAAAAAAAATAGGCAGGAAGGAGGGAAGAAGGGAGGAGAAAGACACTGGTGGGGCAACTCTGTACTGTAAAATACAAGGAAGATGAAATATCACTACAAGAGGATTAGCGGTAACCAACTAGACATTCTTCTCCCATCCTCATGCACTGCACTTCACCCCCATAGAAGAGAAACCATCTGCAGACCCTCTGACCCCCTATTCTTTCTACATCTTGAAAAGAGGGTAATTAGCCATTCAAGACAGACAGCACAGGGGAGACTTTTGGGCATTGACTGGTCAGCAAAGATCATACACACAGGCACATTTCAGGAAAACACAAATGATAAGAACAGCCATCTAGTCGCCTTCAAATGCACTCTATGGAATGATCAGGCTGGGCTACTGCCTTGTAAGCCAGCTCCAAAATGACCCCTCCACCATCACATGCCAACACTTTCAATACTCAGCAGGCCAAGGTGTGGATGGACAAAGGATTTCTCCTGAACTAATACTGTCCGAATCTCCCTCCTGGCTGCACCTAAATGGCAGGGATATGCCCCCAAATCACACAAGTTCACTCAGCACAATGTGCTCTTTGTGGGACCCTCTTTCAATGCCAATCTCAGGCCATCATACTCTAGGAAACAAATGCAAATGCCCCTTTCCCAAATTTGCAAGAAATCCGTGCTCAGGGAAAAGTCTCTTAGCTTTACCAACAGCTTTCGACCAGAGCAATTCTGCTTCTACACTAACATCTGATGCTTGCAGAGTGGCCACCTCCAGCAACAGGATGGGATCACCTCTACCAGCAACAGTCTTAATTTACAACCCTTGGGCAGGCGGGCAGAGCCCTGTCCTGCACAGCCAAGCACAGACCACCATGAA